AAGGAAAAGATCATCAGCCTACCACAACCAATCAAAAACTTGCAAACTTGGCTTAGAGGAAAAAATAGCTATCATTACTTTCCCAGACCAAATTAAATTATTAAATAAAAGATCCGAGCTCATCTCAAAATGCAGACATGAAAACAAATTTTTACTACGTTACTTAAAAATTGAAAACGGAAAAAATAAAATAAAAACAGATAAATAAACAAGTAAACAAAATAACAATAAAATAAGCAAAATTAATTAATCCAAACAAATTACCAAATCACACCTGTTAGAATAGACGAAATAGAATAATAATAATAATAACAAAAAACAAAACAAAAAACAACGAACCCAAATAAATCAAGTAAATAAACAAAGTAGCAAACCATTATGACCAAAATATTAGTTAGACTAAAAAATCAAACCCAAAAATCAGACGAAAAAAAAGCTATAACTGCTATATAACGATAAAATAAATAAAATAAAATATAAATAAATAAATAAATACTACGTTACTTAAGAATCGAAAAACCGAAAAGAGAAAATATACAAGTAAAATAAATTGACATAAATTCATCGAAGTAAATAAATAAACAAACCAATCCCGATAAAGTTACCGTTAGAAAAAACAAAGATAATCAACCCAAATAAACACAAATTAAAAACTGTTCCTGCCAAAATAATAGTTAGAATAAACTATAACAACCAACCCCAAAACCGAACAAATAGCTTTAATTAAATTCTCAAACCAAAGCAAAACTATTAAATAAGTGATATAAACAATTTTTTACTACGCTAAAAAAAAACACCGATTAAAAAAATAAGTAAATAAATAAATAAAATAAGAAACAAAAAATAAAATTAAATAAAAACAAGCAAAAAAATTTGACCCAAATAAATAAATAAACGACTTCCGGTAAAATAATCGCCATAATAGACTACCCACAATGCACCACTGGCCCGTATATGTATAAATAGCCGAGAAAAATAACAGCAGACGTGGCCTGACGATTGCATATAGCATGAAACAGACTGTCGCCTCTAAGTGTTGACTTCTATGTTCACTTTTATATCTCTGATATTGAGCACTTTATCCCATAAATATAGCACACCTTAAGACTATATTTCTTCATATATATATATATATATATATATATATATATATATATATATATATATATATATATATATATGTATGTATACTGGCACCTCCACTGAATTTCGATACCTAAGTTTTAAAATTAAATTTTACAAATGAAAAAGTGTTCTTGAATATTTCATTTTAGTTTTACTTGAAAGCTAAAAGATTAAATGTATTATTTCCAGTAAGTCAAAATATTCTGGTGTATTTCAGATAGAAATTATTTAGATTGGAATGTCAAATAATTGCTTGATTTTTTTTAAAGCAGCCATTTTCTTAATTTTAAGAAATTTGTAAGCAGACAAATTTGTCGGTTTTAAAAACTTTCAAAATTAAATTATAGATTTGTGACACGTTATTTGAGTAAAAGTAGAGACTTTTAAGTTCAATTTAACTGATTTGACATAAATACTACTTATAGCATAAAAAAAAAACAATATATAATCATTTCTTAACAATGGGGCCCTTCTTTCTCGTATATTTATTGATTTATCGAGAAGCTCTCGAGGTAATGACAGCTCTTATGGGTGTAAAAAATTGATATAAATTTACGAAATCTAAGTGAACGTATTTTTTTAGTTTTTAACAATCTAGTAATTTTTACAAATTAACATATTTTCAGCAATTATTTAATATTAGGTTGGTGCAAAAATAATGACGTAAGAATGTCGTTTTTTGACGTTAAAAAATACGTCAAAAAATGACATTATTACGTCATTATTTTTGCACCAACCTAATATTTTATTGACTTTTAGTTAAGTTCTTAAAAAGCTTTATGAAATTTGCATTTCGTCTCTAGGTTCCTAAGTTTACTACCTTAAACAAAAAATTAATTAACTGAACTATGACCCAAACTAAATTACATATATAAAATAAAAATATTGAGTGAAATAGCAATTAGGAAAAGTAAAACTTTTTTTGATATTTTGAAGGGATGATTTGCAAAGACGTTAATGATGAAACAGAACTGAATTAAAAGTGAAATAATTGCAGTGTGTTAGACGACACTTAAATCACGTGACGTTTTCAAGTATTATGTCATGTATATATTTCCATAAGTAGAAATTAGGAATTTTTTTTTTCACGAAAAATTATTTTTAAAATATTCGGGTGCAAACGACTGTCATGAGCTTTTCAAATTCTGATTGATAAATTTACTTTTCACTTAACGATATCACCAAATTGCATTCTTGAAAGCAATGAGGATTTTTAAACGATTTTTGAACTATTATATTTTATAAGTAATTTTTTGAAAAAAATGAAGAAATTTTTGAAAAAATGAATTATTCTATCTAAAAAAAAATTATTTCTTCAAGCAATAGTGCCCTTAATATAACTTATTTACAAAAGCAATTAAAAGCTTTTCTAATTAAATAATGTCATATAGTTTTATTGCATTTTTCAGAGCAGATTATCCATGAAACGGGTAACTACAAAAAAAAAAAAGAAAAAAAGAAATTGATTTACTTTCTCCAAAGAGTCCTCTTTTTAACTAATAAAAATATCCACTCCCTTAAACATTTAATTTCTCGAAAATTCATGAAATTAGATAAGTGAGTGGTAACATATATAAAAAAAAAATATTTTTACCAAGATTTTCTAAAAAGAAAAATTTCAAAAATAATTTAATTCATTTCTGAATATGTCCTGAAAGTTTCATTAAAATTTACAATTATTTGAATTTTGCAAGAATTTTCAATTCGATGTGTTTTTCACCGAAAAATACTAACCTTTTGTCCGCTTCTGACGTAAAAAAAAAAGATTTTTAACCAAAATTTACAACGTGCTACAAAGGAGTAAAAATTTCAAAAAATAATAAAAAAAATACTTTAGTCTTTCCTCCTAATAATAATAAGCATTTTGATGATAAAACTTAGTTTTTTTTTTCATCATGCTATTTTAATTTTTACTCGACCAAGTGGAGGTACCCATATATATATATATATATATATATATATATATATATATATATATATATATATATATATATATATCAAGTGTACAAATAAAGTGTAAACCTCTGCAGGAAGATAGAGGTCTTGTCGTGTCGTGAGCCTGGGACTGAATGCGATAACAGACCAGTCGAACAAACAGCTCTCAACTGAGTCAGGTAGTTCGCTGACTTATCGAACTCTCTACATTCGGGCAGAGAGGAAACAAGATGAGGCAATGTCTTGGGGAGGTAGACAAACACAAATTTAAGAATGCTGAGTCTAAGAGAAATTTTTATCCGGGAAAACTTTTGTCAGTGGCCCGTGGGGAAACGCTAGGGTTCCCTACATAAAACTTGGCCTTGTGTCGCATCTAGTCTGCAGTGAGGCGATCGGTAAATACCAATCGAATCGCAGTCAGGCAATATCCTACCAGGATCAAAACTTGTCGAACGCTCTGCTCTTGAGCAGAGAGGAACCCAGATGAGGCTTTGCCTATGGGCAAAGTCCCGTCTGGTGAGGTAGACAGTCCCAAACCGACGTTTGCAATGTCTAAGGGAAATTTTTGAACGAGACTACGGGCATGGAATCACCCCAGGTAAAAACTGACTATATATCACATTCCTCCTTGTGGAGAGGATTGGGAAAATATCAATCGTATTGCAGTCAGGCAGTTCGCTGCCAGGCTCGCGACAGTCTTGTGGAATATCTCTTCTTTTGGGTAGACAGGAAGCCAGACGTGGCTATTCCTACGGGCAGAGTCTAGTCTGAAGAGGTAGACAAACCCGTCCCAGCGTATGCGGGATCTAAGGAAAATTATTGCCCGAGCCTACGAGCTCGGAATCGACCCACATTAAAAGAGACATTGCATCACATCATTACTTTTGGGGAGGATTGGGTAAATACTAAACAAACCGCATTCAGTCCCAGGCTCACGACAAGACAAGACCTCTATCTTCCGGCAGAGGGTGACAAAAGCTCGGGTTCCCTAAATAAAACTTAAGCTTGTGTCGTTTCTTATTGCCCAGGTGATATAAGCTATATCAGCTGAATTCATATCAGTTACGCCACTTTACAATCCTTCTGTTTATCAAGCTTACGGTTAAATACCACTGAAAACACCGGATTTCATTCACTTACTGACATTTAGCAGCGTCACGCCCGGTATGTATCAAATGGAGGACTGATTTGGAACCAGTGGACACTATGAGCAACATTCTATAATAGGATTCATCTTTAAATAACAGACAGTGAGTTGATAAATTATAAAATAATCAAATTCATCATTGTTCTACACACACACACACACACACACACACACACACACACACACACACACACACATATATATATATATATATATATATATATAGAGAGAGAGAGAGAGAGAGGAATGTGTAAGATAAAAATGTACATACAAGCACAAATACTTACACGTACGTAAGTATTTTTATTCCTCAGGTGTTATAAATACAGTGCTCATTATTATGAAAAAGAGCTATAAGTATATATTAAAATTTGTATATTTAGGCAGCAATCCTTCTTTCATGCACATTTCATTGAATACGACAGACAAGGTGCAATGCTTTAGTTTAGAATTAACTATTAATGATTTATATCGTTCAAACCCATAAGTTCGAAAGTTGAAGAATTAAAAAATAAAAAAAATACATAACAAAAATTATTTAAATTTGAATTTGGAATTGTAAGTAACAATAAATCAAGGGGGTAACTCTCATTTTGATTTTAGAATAAAATACCCAATATTATTAACGTAAACTAGAACGCAAATTAGATATTTAATATAAAAATGAAAAAATAAATAAATAGTTCGGGAATATATATCTAATGTAATGGTGAAATTATATATACTCAGACGTTATAAATTAATCGAGTACAGTAATAATAATATGAGGGTATAGTTATATAAGTAAAGTTAGTGATAAAAATGGAGGAAAGACATTAAAACTTTTTCCTCTCTCCCTCTCTCTCCCTCTCCCTCTCTCTCTCTCTCTCTCTCTCTCTCTCAGTCTTTAAAACACCGAAGCAATAAAAAAATTAATAAAAAACAAAATAATAAGCTAAAACCTGAAGGTAGATTTTACTATGATAATTATCGCAAGGAAGACAGAGAAGAAAACTCAAAGAATTTAAATAAAATATTATATGAACATAGAATTATTTTTGTTTTTTTTTACATAACATATCAAATGCATTGTTTGCTCACTGTAATGAATCTGATCATAATTTTCCTGTATAAAATACTACATTAATTAAAAGGGAAATGAATTTACTAAAAGAAATGTTCAGAAAAGTGCTTTAATCAATCCATCATCCAAGATAAACTTACGTCCAGGTTCGTAAGACATTTCAGTATATTTTGTTGATCTTCTATTGTCACAATAACAAAAGTGTGGGAAAGATAAACACAAAGAAACTAAATGAAATCCGCTTGACTATGCAAAAAGTCTAACTAATTTCAATTAGAAAAATATATATTTATTTAAAAGAAAATAATTCAAATTTAAAATTCACTGCGTCCCATTTTGTTCGAGCACATGTGTAGCTGTATCAATGTAAACATCACTTTAATCCGATGAAATCCTAAAGGACAAAAGCATCACACGAAAACTTTTTTCCACTTTTTCATAGTAATTTTCCTAAAATTGTTCTCGATTTATAAACATTTATATATAGTATTCCAACACACACGCGCGTGCGCACACACACACACGCACACACACATACATACACACATATGTGTGTGTGTAATCTATCCAAAAATAATATAAATGCTAACGTTCATAGCATTAATTCTAAAGAGGTCTCAATACCTCAAGAGTAGAGTAGTAATTATTTATTATGATAATTTATATATATATATATATATATATATATATATATATATATATATATATATATATATATATATATATATATATATATATATATATATATATATATATATCAGATCGTGAAAAATTATCACTTATATATATGTGTGTGTGTGTGTGTTTGTTTATGTGTGTGTGTGAGTATTTATGTGTGTTTATGATTATTAATATATGTATATTTACGGAGTTAGATGATCAGCAGGAAAGCGAAATTGATAAATGAGATGGAAGGAAAGATCTGTGCCCCTGCGCGCCAAAGAGAAATAAATGTCGAGATATGAATATAGGTGCCGCCTTATATCTTCCTTTTCTTTACAAGTAAAAAGACTTGTAACAAAACCAAAAAAAAAAAAAAAAAAAAAACAGTGAAATCCTCTTGTCTACCACCTTTTAACATGATGCGTTTCCGCAGCACTTTATTTGTGAAAAACGCGACAAAGCATGCCTCCTGTCTATTTAGATTTGAATCGCATTTTATTAATGCCAGGAAACACGTCGCTGATGGTAACATTTCCCACCTGTCGTCTACCTCCTCTCCGATGACACCTGCTGGAGATACGCTTCTTAGTCGTGGATACGGACAAACCTCACTAACGACTCAAAGTTTATTACAACTTCATCTTTTTTGCTAATTCAATTTCAATGTCTATAATATGTTAAAAAAAAAAATCGCTAACGATTGCAAGAAGATTTCTTGTCCAGTCTTTCAAACCATCATAGAAAAAAGTAATAATTTTTGACGATACGTTACGAGAATTTTCTCTTCAGGCGTCTATGATAAGGTAATGAAGATTTACGTAACATGTGGCATGAGGTTGTAATAATATATCTGTTCCCCAAAGATATAATTATTATGTATTCGCAAAATTAATAACCCATCAACTTATTGATACAACGACATAGGGTTTGGCGTTTGGCGGTGTCTACAAATGAACATTCGTTTAGTGACAACAGAAGATAAAAAACACTATGCTCATAGCATGTAGGCTCAAGCACGACACACAGACACTCACACATGCATATGTATACGAAGAGGCACACGCAACGATATATAGAGACATGTACGTACACACATGTAAGTATAAATAGACATAAAATCAAAAGTACAAATAAAGGGTGTTTCATTAAGGCGGATCAAAGTCAGCAGTAAATAAATCATTGTTATTGATGAAAAATTATTTATTACGCTATTGGATCGTGTTATTTAAGTTATGGCAATTATGTGGGAAAAATAATATCGCCAAAATGTCCTCCAAGGCTTCGGTGGCACACCTCCACTCGATGGTCAAAATGTTTTATATCGTCTCTGTATAGCTGCTCCTTAATCTCACCAATATGCCTTATTATCTCATCCTTCAGCTGTTGAATTGTTGTTGGCTTGTTGGCATAGACGTTACTCTTGGGACGACCTCAAAGGAAGAAATCTAAAGGCGTCAAGTCGCACGATCATGGCGGCCAATTGACCCCGCTGTTTCAAGAGATGATGCGACCTGGGAACTTCACATTACATTTCTGTTTGTAACGTCCATTTTCGTAATAGGCTTGAATAACTTTAACAGGTTGTTTGATTGTGAATCTTTCCATGGTTGAAAGACTTGAGTTATTAAATCTGAAAGAAAAGGAAAAAATCATCAGGCGCTTCAAATTAATTCACATTTAAAATTGGTCTTTAGTTATTTCAAAACCCTTTATATACGTTAAAATTTTGCATGCAAACAGGGTGTGATAGATAAAGTTTCGCTCAAATTACGCAAAAATCAAAATAACACTGCCATTTCATTTTAACACATATATTTACCAAAATTATACAAAAATCTCTTGAAATACCAAAAAGTACATTTATTCAATAAAATTGACATTGGCGTCAGTTTTAGCTTCCAGACGACTTCGGAATCTCCTTCAACTCTTCTAGACGGTCTCTTTATTTAAGTTTATAAATATTG